GGGTCACCTGCTTGTCGTTCTGTCTTGGTAGGTCAGGTGCTGGATGAGAGGGCACCACTGAGGGTCAGGCTTCACTGCCTTTTATCCCTTTCTGGCAGACTTGTGTGATCCCCCAGCATCATCTTGGCTGCCCAATCCGGAGGTTGCTCTCCCATGTGGGTACATGGCAGGTGTTAGTCACAGGGGTCTCTGCCTGCAGCACCTGAAGTTTCAGGAGTCCACCCTTGACTTATTGACTTAATGGCTGTATTGTCATGGGTTACAGGAATAGTCAATAGAGTGGGTGCTTAGTTCCAGGAATCAGTTCCTTGGCTTGATTAACTTAAAATGGCTTGTAGAGTTTTGTAATGGTAAGTTCCTCTGGCTAGGCTATTGTCAATTAACAGCCGTACGTACTTGGTTTGTCATTCATAACATGCATTCATTCAAGGGACCACCCAATATACCAGATTTTATCACTTTACAATTACAATTTCCATGCAGTTTTAACAATGGTCCAGGGTGTAACTTCATTCTACAGGGAGTACATTCCTTAAGGGTTTAAAAGTATAAAATATAAAATACAAAATGCCATGGTAAAAATGAGACAGATGAAATATTAAAATGCACTGTGAGAAATATATAAAAATGCAATGTGAAGTAGTGAGGGTCAAAGGCTACTGGACAGTAAGTGAGTTAGGTTAGCACCAGGATATATTTACACTCTTTGAAGTGGATATTTCAGTTCTTTTGTTTTCTTTAGTGACACTGAGCTTAACTGATGTAGATGCAGTCTCTAGGTTTCTCCTACAGAAAGCCACTTCAGCTTTCTGGCTTGCTCTGAGCCTTGCCACACCCATGCAATGAATGTGCTAGGTCTCTGCCAATACTTAGAAGGAAAAAGAAATGCACAAAATGGTGGGGGAAGGTAAAGGCAAGAAGGGGCTTCTGTTATATCCATTTCCAGAAGGGAAATGTACAAAGGGGGCTTTCTGCTACAGGGGGACTTGGTGGCCATCTATAAGTACATAATGGGTGAATATCAAGAGCTCAGAGAAAAACTGTTCACTATGGGATGCCCCAGGGGAGGACAAGAAGCAATGGACACAAACTGAGGACGGTTTTAGGTTGGATATAAGGAAGTAATTCTTTATGGTAAGTGTGGCCATAATCTGGAAAAGACTTCCCAAACAGATGGTGCAGTCCTTAACCTTGGAAATCTTCAAGAGGAGACTGGACAGACATTTTTCTGGGTTCATTTAATCTCAGCAGCATTCCTGCCATAAGTAGGGTGGTTGGACTCAATGATTTTTTGAAGTCCCTTCTAGCCCTTAATTTCTATGAATCTCTGATTCTAGGATAATTAACCCTCTATTCATCAAGCATGTCTGCTGAACACTGAGGCAGGCTTGCTCACACATTGTCCACCATGGATGACAACAGACTGCCATGCATGACAGTGGCCAGCATGTCCCCCCAGGTCCATGCTTCCTCTGTCAAGTTGAGATGCATCATGATTACCAAGACAACTCCAGCTCCCAGCCCCCTTGTGCCTATCTATTAATTTGACACTAGCACAAAATTAATAATGCTTCTCCACCTTGAGTGCTTTCATTTTCTGTTTAAACTAGCATGTGCTTCTCTGATTCCACAGCTGCACGCATCAGAACTACTTTGCTTCATGTTAAACTCCCTCCTCCCCTGGACTTTGACCAGGCCTGGGCCAGTGTCCTGGGCCATCCCCCTGGCCTGGGTCAGTGCCAGGGAAGGGGCATGTGCAATCCCAGTTGGCCAGGGATCCCCAACACTGGTGTCTGGGGCAGTGAGTCACAGTGTCTGGGTCACTGAGGTTGGCAAATGTTCTTATCTTTAGTCCAACTCCCCAGAACTCCCCCAGCAAGGATGGCAGGCCATTCTGAGCACGGCATTCACAGGTGCCAGTGAAAATTGCAACTGTTGCATTGCAGAAAATATGTAAGCAGAGCAGCACTCCCAAGAATTTGAATGAAAGCATCACTCTTGAGGAACCACTGCTACCCCCTCCCTTCCACTAAAACATACCTTTTCAGTATACTGTGGCTGAATTTCCCAACCCTCTCCTCCCCAAACCACATATTCACACCCAGCCCAGCACAACACCCCTAGTTTAGCCTCCCTGAATGGACCTGGGCTGGCCATATACTGTGAAGGGTTAATGAAAGTGCTCCATGGCCCCACTGTGGGGGAGTGGTATGACTCCACA